GCCCCCGCCCCGCCCCGCCCCCACCTCCCCTGGGCTCGCCCGGCCCCTCCTCGCCACCCTCCCGTCTGGCCCCGCCCCCTCCCGCCCCTGGCTCTAAAATAAATTAGCCACAGAGGGGAAAAAAGAGCAAATGACCCTCGGTGTGGAGAGTGTCCTTCGCCACTCTCAGACCCGCCCGCCCCGCCACTCCCGGCCGTCGGAGCGGGAAGTTGGGGTAGGGGTGGGGGTCGGGCCGGCGGGTAGGGGTCGGGGACAGCCCGGGGACGGGACCGGGACCGAGCCCTGGACTGAGCAGCCTAGACCGTCGAGCGTGTCCGCTGGATGTGGGCGGCTTCCTGGGTCGAAGGGCAAAGAGGAAGGCAGCCGGCCTGGGCCCGCCCCGTCCGCGGGCCGCCAGAGACCCCCTCTCCCAGAACTGCCTTGGCCCTCTGGCCACAACCTGGTGAACACTTGCTCACTTCCTCAGCCCCCAGGTGTGCTGAGCACCCACTGCGTGAGGGACTCTGCTTTCCCTGTCCTCCAGGGGTGCAGAGGGCAGGACACACCTCCAGGCGAGGCCGCTGCTCTACGCTGATGCTACTCCGGCACGGTGGGTGAGGGGAGGAGGGCGAGCACTGGAGGGGGGCAGCGGACTGCGGGGTGTGAAACCAACAGCGGCTCCACTGGAGGGCTTCCCCAGAAGGCCACAGTCACACTGGGCCAAACAGGACGACTGGCATGAAGGATGAGTCCCAGACCTCTAGTCTACTTAGAGGTGTGCAAAGACACCTCTGTGTATTCAACAGATACATACTGAGTGTTAACTTTGTGCCAAACATTGGACTGGGGCACCAGGGATACCCAAGAGAGTCCAAGAGGCATGGCCCTGTCTTCCTGGAGCTCCCAGTGGAAGAGTACACAGAATTCTGCCTGGCACACACACACACACACACACACACACACACTCTCTCTCTCTCTCTCTCTCTCTCTCTCTCTCTCTCTCTCTCTCAAGGCTTCATCAGGGACAAAGCCCAGGAACCCACTTTGTCCCAGGAGAAGATAGAAGGGGGCCGTGCTGATGATGGAGGGTCTGGAGAACCTTCCTGATGTGGAGCCTCCAGATGTCCCAAGGCTATGGTGTTTCCACCCAAGGGCAGTGCTTAAGGGTCCTCTCTCCTGAGGGCTTTTTTTTTCCCTTTTAAATGGCTCTCTAGCCTGAGTGTCAGTAGGGCAAGATTGGCACTCACCACCTAGCCTGCAGATAAGGGTTCTGTCCCCTTTTGCAGGACTCCAAAACACTACCTCCTCCCTCCTCCTAATGTGGATTCCTCTGGGGTCTGACGGGTCTGGGGCACTCCTTTAGGTGCCACTCAGGGAAAGGGAAGGGCCTCAGTAGCTCCCACTTCTTTCCCAGCCCACATATGGAAGCAACCAGCACCCACGCAGGCTCTGGTACTTGCCAAGGTCACTGTCTCTTCCACCTTCAGAATTCTCTCTTTCTTTCCACTCCACACCCCCAGGACCCTACCCTGGCACAGGAGGAGGGATGTGGCATGGCTCAGAGTGCTAGAGTAGCCCTGGCTTCAGAATTAGAAAGGCACGATGAAGGGAGCCATGGCCACCATGCTAAGAGAGTGGAGCCCTTGCTGGAGGGACAGTCCCAGGCTGCCAGCTGGAAGGAACTCCTTGAATATTTCCTCATTGTTGGAGTATCAGAGGCCCAGAGAGGAAAAGTGACACAGTTGGGGTCACACAGCAAAGCTGGATCTAGAACTCACTGCACTCTTGCCACTCCTACCTGTCAGGTTCCCCAAGAGCCAGAGACAGGAACTAAGGGAAAGACTAATGTCCACATGAGCTAGGTGCCTCAGCAGGATCAGTGCCAGGAAGCCAAGCCTGGCATTGCCATCAGGGATCCTGACATTAGGCTCGGGGGGGGGTATGACAGGAGAGGGGGTTGGACTGAGGGCCCAGCGTGAAGGAAGGAATTGATCATACACTCCCCTGGAGTTCTCCTTCATCTTCCAGGAGTCCAGGAGTAAAGAAAGGGACAAGCTGAAAGCTAAGAAAAGCCTTGCTAGTGAGATGGCAAAAGGCATCAGCACACTGGAGAAGGCCTTTGCTGGACTCCAGGGGCAAGGCCAGCAGCTTGGCAGTACTGAGTTGTTTCCAATGGGCAGACTGCCGTGGGTCACATTAAGAGGTTTAGTTAGCAGATGGGGGTGAGGTTGATCACTTCAGCCCTCCATCTCCCACCCTGCACCAGTGCTCAGGCAATGAAGTGTGGCTCTCCCTCCCAGAGCTCATTCAAGTCCTCTTAATACATCATCCAGCCTCCTGGGCTGACAAATACTTAGTACTGGCAAAAAGCTGTTCATCACATCTCTACCCCCTGCCGTCCTGGACAAGGCCCTCAGGGACTGATCTCTGAGGACTCTGGGCTGACCCCACTCCTGGCTGTCCCCCGTCAAAGGATCTGTGCCCTGAGAGCCCCTGCTGAGGTGGTTGCGATCACCCCCAGGCAGGTCAAGTGCCTGGCAATGGATTGGATAATAATAGTGGTAATGATGGCAGTAATGTGTGGCTTCTGCTGAGGGCCCTCCATTCCTTCCTGGCCCCTTTGCTGGTATCACATCCAAGGTGGAGGATCCCACCCCCATCCCACCCCCAGGGGAAACAGGTGCTATGCATGGCTGCGTGGCTGAGTGCAGGCACCTGCTTCGGGCGCATGCCTCTGGGTGTGCAGCACAAGTGTGGGAGTGTGTGACCTTCCTGGTCCAGAGACCTGCAACAAGGGCTTTCTAAAAGTGTTAAGAAGAAAAATAACTCCATGGGTCTAGGGAGAATCAGCGCTAAGGATTTTCGAGGGAGGAGGGAGAGTTAGAGGGAGGAAGTAAAAGCCAGAGAGAGAGGGCAGGAGGAGCAAGTGGGGTGAAAAGGAAGGAAAGAAAAGGGGCCTGGGTGGGGGGAAGGATGAGGTGGGGGGAGGAAGGGAGAAAGAAACGGAAGAGAGGAAGAGGAAAGGGCGGGGTGGCTTCTTTGTGGTCCTCTGGACTGGCCACTCAGAAGTCATTATGAGCAGGAAAGGAAGGAAATGTGTCCCAGCTTGGGGATTGGGGTGCGTGCCCAGAGGACACCACACCCAGCTGGGCTTCCCCCCCACCACACTTGCCCAGGGCTCAGACTGCTGTCCCCACAAATGGAAGCTCTAGCCGGTCTCATTCTTGCTGTTTGGCCACCAAGGCTCAGTTCCCAGTGCCTCCCAAACCACCCCCGAACTCTTATTCTTCATGAATGTATACCAGCTTTCCCTTCCCACTGTGCGACAAGCTGTGTCTGGATCAGATCCCCACCCCACACCCAGCCTAGGAGTCCTTGAGAGCCTCCGGGCGAACTAGAAAACATGCTCCTCCCTCTGGGCAGATGTAGCTCAGACTTGGGAGGAGAAGCTGGGTGGCTATCAGACCCCACTCGCTCCCTGGGGCCCAACACCTGGAGACCCTGATACTCCACTTGCAAAATCCTTACCCCACATGTGGCCCTGCTGTTTCTTCTGTGAGCAGAAGCACGTCCACCCCCGACCATCCTGGACATAGTGCACCATAGCTTTTCAGCCAGCACTCCAAACTGATCCCACCAGGTATCTTATAATCACACAGAAACTCTCACTAAACCCTCATACCTTTTTTTTTTTTTTTTTTTTTTTTTTTTTTTTTTTTTTTTTTTTTTTTTTTTTTCTTTTTATTTTTTTTTTTTTTTTAAACCCTCATACCTTTTTTTTTTTTTTTTTTTTTTTTTTTTTTTTTTAATTGAGATGGAGCCTCGCTCTGTCACCAGGCTGGAGTGCAGCGACAGGATCTCAACTGACTGCAACCTCCACCTCCCGGGTTTAAGCCATTCTTCAGCCTCAGCCTCCCAAGTAGTTGGGACTACAGGTGTCCGACATCATGCCCAGCTAATTTTTGTATTTTTAGTAGAGACGGAGGTTTCACCATGTTGGTCAGGCTGGTCTCAAACTCCTGACCTCATGATCCACCCGCCTCAGCCTCCCAAAGCGCTGGAATTACAGGCATGAGCCCCTAAGCCCAGCCCACACTCATACCTTTTTAATGCCTTAGAATCTTTCTGCCTAGACTCTCATTTCCCTATTCTGCCTGGTGAGATCCTATTCATCCTTCAGAGCCCAACTGAGGTATGCCCTTCTCTGTAAAGTCTTCCCTATCTGTCCTGCATCCTAGCAGAGCTAGTAGCTCTACTCCCAGAGCGCTTCCAGCCCTTTTTTTCCCCCTAGGTTCTCGGGGTTGAGCCCACTCCTCCCTGTCCAAATGCAGAGAAGCCTCCCCCAAGTCCTGCATGATCCACCCTCTATCATGCTAGCCCATCTGGAACCTTGGGACCCTACTGGGCTCCTTCCCTCCCTAAAGTTTACAGACCCAGGGCAAAATGGGGAACTGCAAATCAAAGTGGCCCAGAGATCTCTCCACCCCCACTCTGCCTTCCCTGGGCCTGGGCCTGACAGAAGATTCCCAGCACATCTGGTTGTACTTAAATAATCCAGGACTACCGGAGCAGGTTCCCTGCTTCTCTCCCTTCAGCCCAGCTTCCACCCGTTCCTAAACCAGCCTTCCAGGTCTCCTCCAGGATGCCTTCCCTGACTGGCCCAGCCCCAGTATCTGCAGCCCACCCTGGAACCTCCACACCTTTGGGTCTGGGGTCTGCCAGGGTGTGGAAGGGAGGGCTATGCTCAGCAAGACTCGGTGTGTAGAATTTCATCTTTCCCAAGCATTGTTCCTAGATAGAAACCCTCCCTTCAGGTAGTGAAGGGGCCAGCCAAGAGCCTCCCCTCTGCTCCCTTGGCCTCAGGGGTGGCTGTCTCCAATTATGGGTGTGTGTAGTGAGAAGGAACCAGTTCAGATCTAGGCAGAGCCATGCCTGTGGCAACTCTTGCTGTCAGCCATCTTCCAAAGAGCTTTGCAAAATATTAAAGGACAAAAGAGAATTAAATATAGAGACTATAGCAAGTATAAGAATGCACAGTCTAGGCTGGGCATGGTGGCTCACGCCTATAATCCCAGTACTTTGGGAGGCTGAGGCAGGCAAATCACCCGAGGTCAGGAATTTGAAACCAACCTGGCCAAGATGGTGAAACCCCATCTCTACTAAAAATACAAATACTAGCTGCGTGGTGGGCACCTGTAGTCAGCTATTCAGGAGGCTGTGGCAGGAGAATCACTTGAACCCGGGAAGCGGAGGCTACAGTGAGCCAAGATCGGGCTACTGCACTCCAGCCTGGGCGACAGCGAGATTCTATCTCAAAAAAAAAAAAGGATGCAGGGACTCTAAAAAACAAGTTTGTTATCTACCATGACCTGCTCCACCGGGTTCCAGGTTTGAATGTTCATCCTTTCATTCAATAGCATGTACCGATGCCTGAGTGTACTAAGTTCTGGGAACGGTGACTCAGGTAAGACCCCAGAGCTTCCTACAGAAACCAGGGTCAGTGGGGGACAGAGACAGGTGGATGAACAAATGCTAGATGCTGTCATGGACTTCAGTCAGGGAGGCACTGGGGTGCCGAGGTTGAAGGTCAGAGGCTGTGAACTAACCTCCATCACTTCCTGCTCTGTCCCCGGGGTGCCACTTAACCACAGGGAGCCTGTCTTCTCACCTGGAAAAGGGCAATGATGTAACCTCACAGGGTCGTGGTGGGATTCCAATGAGATAATGTGTGTGGAAACCCCTTGCCAAGTGCTAAGTGAGCTGCTGCTGTTATGATCAGGCTGAGGCCGCCTACCTGATGCTCATTTTTTTGATGCCTCAACAGCTGCCTCTCTTACCCTCTGAGGTGAGCAGCCACGTTGGAGAAACTTCTGAGGGTGAAGAACACCCAGCCTAGAGCAGTGGGCAGTTAAGCTGCACGCACAAACACACACACACTTTAGTTATACAAGCAGAACACCTTTGTACAAAAATTAGAATGGCATCGTGTGCCCATGGCCCCAGTTACTCAGGAGGCTGAGGCAAGAGGATTCCATGAGTCCCGGGAAACATAGTGAAACCCATCTCTATTATTAAAAAAACAATAAGAAGAAAAAACAGTTAGCCAGGCGTGTTGGTGGGGGCCTGTGATCCCAGCTACTTGGGAGGCTGAGGCAGAAGAATCACAGTTACTTGAATCCAGGAGGCAGGGGTTATAGCGAGTGGAGATCGAGCTACCGCACTCCAGCCTGGGCAACAAGAACGAAACTCCATCCAAAAAAAAGAAAAGAAAGGAAAAAAATAGATAAGCAGAAAACAAAACATTTAAAAATGCAACACCTTTAATCCCACCATCCAGAGATAACCACCGGTAACATTTTGGAGTCAGTCAGCTGGACACAGTGATTGGGCGCCTGTGGCCCCAGCTACTGGGGAAGCTGAGGTGGGAGGACTGCTTGAGCCGGGAGATTGAGGCTGCAGTGAGCCATCATCTTGCCAGTGCACTCCAGCCTGGGCAACAGAGCGAGACCCCGTTTCAAAACAAACAAACAAGCAAACAAAAACCACTTTGGAGTCAGCTAGATATTATTCTATTTATCTCTCTACATAGGTGTACATATAGAGAGAGGTCTCCACAGTGTTTTATAATACACTTTTCTTAATAGACAGATTTTTTTTTTTTTTTTTTTTGAGAGGGAGTCTTGCTCTGTCGC